TTTAAATAAAGAGGAAAGCAAAGTTATTTTCATGCAAGAATTTGAAATCAATTTATTTCGATTTTGAAACTCAATGTTTACCGATAAAAGGCAGTTTACTTTTAAGACATTTTGAAACGTTTTGCGAAGCGTTTGTGGTTGAGTTTTACATTAAATTGAAGCTTATATTATGTATAATAACATACCTAACATATATATGGGGCTTCGGTGGCCAAGTGGTTAGCGCACTTGCCTTTCACCTCTAAGGTAGCAGGTTCAAGCCTCAATGAGGACTTCTCCAGTGCTCTCATTTCTCATTGCCTGGAATTCCTTAGATTCTCGGTAAAAAATTCCTCAGATTTAGTAAAATTTCCTTAAACGAGGGGTAGGCATGTTTTTTTAGTAATTTATGGCCTGGATTATTGAGAATTACAAAGTTAGGTTCCCAGAATTTCTGTCTCATTTGGGAATTGGGATTTTGAGCAGCATCGTCAGAAGGGATTTTACATTGTTGGTCAAGAAATATCTTCCTTCGAAAAATTTTTGCAGTCCTGAATGCATAAGACTGCATTTCCTGCGTTTTTAAAAAGTATTTTTGCATAAATACAGCTAAATGGGACTGAATTTTTAAATATTATTTCAACATTTTCAAATATTAGATAGACTAAAAAATTCCTCAGAAATTCCTTAAAAATTCTATTTCCTTAAAAGTCTCCTTAAAAACTGATAATTTCCTCAGTTTAAGGAAATTTCCTTAAAACTGAGAGCCCTGGACTTCTCAATGTGACTAGAACCCAGTCCTCATGTGAAAAGAGTAAAAAGTCAACGCTCTACCGAAACTGTGGGTTTTCTCCGGGTACTCCGTGTTTCCTCCCACAGGGAAAGTTGACAGGGTGGGTTAGGCACGTAGGTCTGGAGGCAGATCATTAGTGAGGTATGGACTAATAGCGGCTGTACAAGCGCCATTTGTAAGCTCAAAGTCTACCTTGGTCTGCTTCACGTCAGTCCGGTTCTATCTATCTATTCATAATGTAACCAGTCACTGAAAAGCCCTGATAGGGAGTGTGCTGTGAAATATCTGTAATCTGTATATATGTTTGGGAAATTGATCATTTTGTAATTAAAAGTGATATTTTGGGGGGATTTTTCAATTTTAAAACTATTCTTAAAATTATCGTGTTACCATGTCAGCAAGGCAAGGGTCTCTGCATGCATATATTTTCTAGTGTTATGGAATAACGTACTTGTCAAATTGGTTAACATTGGTCCACAATCCACGTGGAAACAATACATATAACTTCAGATTATCTGGATTTTCGTCCGTACCAATAGACAACTGACACTGATCATCACCAGATACATAGAATGTATATGCTCCAGTCTCGGGAGCCTAAAAATAAAGTTTAAACTTTTTCACCAAGAATGTCATGTTAAACTTATCTAACTATATTTATCTTATTTATCCTGGATATAGTTCTATCACTTGTAGATTGTTCTTCATTTTGGTCTAGTAAGTGCTACCACTCAATGATCCAGTGTTACCAGTGGCGTAGTCAGCCCGACAATTTAGTTCCGCTATGCAAATTCAAAATTATTATCATTATTCATTTCTTTAGAAATTGATTTTTTTCACAGTCAATGAACATGAAAATATTTGCATAGCGGGACTAAATCGTCGGGCTGGCAAAGACTAAATGAATTTTATTTGTACTGGACAGCTCTACCACTTATAAACTGTTCCTCCAAGGGGTCCGGTAAAGATAATTTTTTACTGATTCAGTGTTACTACAGACAGAAAGTCTGTGTATCTGGAGATAATGCATGGTGTTTGGTAGAGTCCACTCCAAATGGAAGCATTCTTCTCACATGCATGCAGGCAACTGAGAAAATCGTACATTATAAGAATCGAGATCAGTCGCAGACATGATCAGGCATATGCTCTGCCCACTGTTCCACGAGCAGTAAGAGTCATAACGTATTGGTCCAGTATTACCAGAGAAAGTAACCGCAGTTTCAAACTGGAAAATACTCTTAATTCTCACGTGCGACTGAGGCCAAATCATAATCAGGCAACTGCATGTTATCAGAATCGAAACTGGGTTACAGAAGTGAAAGTCACATACAATATTGGTCATGCAGTGTAACGATAAGAAGATATCGGAATACGCGAAGAAAATATGTAATATTTGGCTCACTAAAACTAAGAGTATTATCTAAGTTAACTTTTTTCTTACCTTATAGTATGAGGTCATTCGAAGTCCATAACTATCAGGCAAATTGTTACCACTTCGTGGAGACTGGAGACTGGCCAGCTTCACTGTGGTGTCAGGTTTGTTTGGATAACGGCTATTGGATGTCATCATCCATATTTCGTTTCCAGCAATATTGTTCCATGTTTCCATCTTAACGCCTTTTTCTACATTGTTAAATGAAACAAAGATTTCTGCATGAAGCGTAATTTAAATAAGCAATAATATGCAGAGCTTGTATGACCTTGTATGAAATTTACGAATGTACGCACATGTACATGTTAACACAGTCCTATAAACGAACTTTAAAATGCCATATATTCAGCCGACTGTGTGCATCTCCCTGCAGGAATCTGTTATAGAAGAACCTCAAAAATATTTAAAACACATTGGCGTTTCGTCCTGCAACTAACCCAAAATTATTTTTTATATAATTATATGTAATTTGTGTCGCTCCAAGAAGAAATGAATAGCTAATCTATTTAAAGTTTGTTTGTTCGCTGCAACAAGGTATATCCATAGATATCTTAGATATCTATAGATATACCTTGATTCTTATATACGCTAGATAGTGCATCTAGTTATTCTGCAATTCAAAAATTGAAGCCGTGATTGCAGACTCAGATAAAGATCGGATGCGAATATTTTAACGTGCTTAAAAAACGACCCATCTTATGAGTTCATTGGCGAAGTAATTTTGAAAATAAACATTGTCTAAGCCGGCGAGAAAATTAAAGCTGAAGTTTATGTAAATCAGGACAAATCTTTATCCGATTTACAAACATTGATAAACATTCATTTTTTTTTGTATTTTCCTCATGACATGAGTTATTAATGAGTTTTTTAAAAATGAATACAAAGCCAGGTCGAATTGTAATCAAGACCCAACGTTTCGGCACTACACTCTACAGTCGTGTGTCTTCATCTGGGGGTGATCTAAATAAGTTGCAATGTGGCTTCTTAAATACCCAAGCGATCATAAGGTCATCTGCCAATACTGAGATGCACGTATTCCTCTGGCAAATAGGCACCGTCATCCCTATTCAAAGCACGAGTACTCATTATTTATATGCCAGGCTTCTAGGCATCGTCTTTGACCATAGTGATTGTTTGTGGTAATTACTTTAGTGTTTTCCCACGCAACTTGTCTGGGAAAATTCTAAAAAGTATTTGGGTCAGTCTAAACGCCAGTTTGGTACACGGCTAAAAGAACATCAAAAGGCTGTTTCAACTTTAAACAAGGGGAAATCAGCTTTAGCAGAACATGTGTGACACCAAACACAAGATTGCGTGGGAAAATTCTAAAGTAATTGCCTAGAAGCGTGGCATATAAATATGAGCAATCATGCTTTAGCTTTGAATAAGGATGACGGTGCCTATTTGCCAGAGGAATACATGCATTTAAGAAGCCACACTGCAACTTTAGATCATCCCTGATGACAGGGCATTTTTTAACTATATAACTACTGGGGCATTTACCCCAGTAGGCCCTTTGTTTGCCCCAGTAGTGAAACAAGATTCTCAGTAAAAAGTAAAAAGTCAACCTTGTTGAAAAAGCTGCATCTGCCTGCTTTCTCATATCCTCTCACATTCTCGACATTCCATCTTATAAAAGTCAGAACAGGCAGTCAAGGGTGGTGCTAAACGGGTGGGTGTGGATGGGTGTGGATGGGTGTGGATGGGTGTGGATGGGTGTGGATGGGTGTGGATGGGTGTGGATGTTGGAACACCCCCAGTCGTCAGGTAGTCGGCAAATTATCTAATCCCAGTTGGATAGGAAGGAAAGAAGCTAAACTATTTGAGTGACACTGATTAAAAACTATTATTTATTACAAATTTCACCATTAAAACTTTGTTTTTAGCACAGGTGGCCCAATCTCGCAAGGGTGAGTATAGTAATGTATATTATTGTAAAAATATGTCTTAAAATATAAATTTTTAAATGAAATTGACTTGCCTATTTGATAGTGTGTATTCTCCTTTTATTATTTTTTTGTTGGACTAATATTTTCCGAAACTTTGGAAAATATTAGTCCAACAAAAGAGCAATAAAAGGAGAATACACACTATCAAGTGGGCAAGTCAATCTCATTTTATATTTTATGACATATTTTTACAATATTTATTATACTGACCCTTGCGAGATTGGGTTGCCTGAGTTTTGAGAAGCTGAGATATTTTTTTAATGTGTTCTCAGAATGCAGGAAATGCTATTTCAGAGACCCAAATTTTAAAAGGGCATGCCCCTAGATCCCCCTAGCTACCTCGTGCCTACGGTACTCGGCGATCGCATACTATCCTGGGGGAGGGGGCAAGGAAAATGGGCCTTTTGGCAGTTTTGCCCCACCACTAAAAAATCCTTAAAAAATGCACTGCCTGATGAAGACACTAGACTGGAGTGTCGAAACGTTGAGTCTTGGTTACAATTCGACTTGGCTTTGTATTCATTTATATAAACCAGAGTAGCGAGTGAAAACATAAACTATTTTATATTTTTATGGTTATAAAATCTCATCTTGATCAACATTTTACTGTTAAAGCTGCTGGATACGACGTCATTAGATGGATTGTCAATTAGTTTACCTTGCGCCATAAAGGTCTATAAGAACTTGAAATTTACGAGTACATGCGCGTATTAAGCAACTCCTAGGCCTGTTTTAAACGACAAATTTAATTCGTTGAATTAGGGGCCGGTTAAATAAAATTCTTAACTACTTTTTCTATCACTATTTTGTAGTTAACTCTAAAATACGCAATTTTGATTGGTTAACGTTCGCATTAACTGCAGTTAATTTTAATTCCATTTTATTATATTATACAAGCGGCTCCTGAGGCTGGTTGTACGAACTACGAAGGCCGGATAGCGCTGTCCACTTGGATAGTGATTCTATCCGGTCTCCGTACAGTCAGTCAGTCAGTCAGTCAGTCAGTCAGTCAGTCAGTCAGTCAGTCAGTCAGTCAGTCAAATCTTTATTTAAGCACGGTAGCTTCATCAGGTTTACAAAAAAGTTATCTATACATTAATAAGTTTAAAAAATTTTTCACGCCTATGTTACATTAATATTTATACCTGTTTTCCATGAATGCCGTGTCTATCGAATATGATGTTTCAACAATTGTCGAAATTCAGTAAGAGATTCCGCTTGTCTTATATTGCTAGGTAAGCTGTTCCATAACACTGCACCACTATAGCTAAAGCTATTTTTAAGATAATTGGTGCGGGGTAAAGGAGCAGCAAGTTTGTTCACGGAGTCTCGAAGTATATAAGAAGTTACATTATTGCGATTAGTAAATTTAGAACATAGATATTCGGGTGCAAGGTTATTTAAAGATTTGAAAACCATCAATGCTTTTTGAAATTGGCGTTGTTGGTTTAGATCATCCCACCCTAGCTTTTCCAATAAGCTATTGGCATCGGCGTCAAAGTTGGAAAAGGTCAACACCCGCATTGCACGGTTTTGAAGTTTTTGAAGTTTGTTAGATAAAGTTTTCCCACAATTTCCCCACACGACATTACAATAATCAAAATGTGGTTGTATTAGAGCTTGGTAAATAACATGCAATGTTTCCAATGAAACAAATGACCTTAACCGCTTAATAGCACCGATACCAGAAGCAATTCGTTTTGTCATTTTATTGATATGACTACTCCAAGTAAGATTTTCGTCTAATAAGACACCAAGTGATTTTGTTGTCGAAACTCGATCTAAAGGAATTCCATTTATTTCAAAAGAAGGATTGTCAGAAAGAGTACTTAAACGTTGTCTCGACCCAATTAACATGTACTCAGTTTTAGTCATATTTAAAGTAAGTTTATTTGATATTAACCATTCATTAATGTTTTCCAAGTCTTCGTTAAGATGAAATTGAATAGTGTTTGTATCGCTACCAGAATATGTAAGATTAGTGTCATCTGCATACATTCTGGGATGAGAATTAGATAAACAATTTGGTAAATCATTAATAAATACCAGAAACAGGAGCGGTCCTAGGATCGTTCCTTGAGGAATTCCACACTTAAGACTACATTTTTTTGAAAGTGACCCGTTAACAAAACATTTCTGCCTACGGTCTTCCAAATATGACTTAAACCATTTGTAGGCAACTCCGTGAATTCCATAGTTTCTGAGTTTAGACAACAAGATCTCATGGTTGACCGTATCGAAAGCCTTTTTCAGGTCTAGAAATACCACGGCATTAATATTGCCGCGGTCAATATTGTAAGCCCAACTATCAGTGGCCTCAAGTAAAGCCGTAGCCGTTGAATGCAAAGAACGAAACCCCGACTGGTGTTCGGATAGCAAATCATGTTCTAACATGTATGCATAAAGTTGATTATAGATTATTCGTTCAAAGGCCTTAGCCATTACTGAAATCACAGAAATTGGGCGGTAGTTATTCATTTCATTCCGTGTACCTTGTTTAAAGATTGGAGTAACTTTGGCACATTTCCAATCTTCAGGAAATGTACCCAATAATAATGAAAGATTAAAAATATTGGTTATGGAACTAGAAATAAGATCAGCACATTCTCGAACAAGTCTGGCTGAGATCTGATCAAGACCGGTTGCTTTTGATTTGCATAGTTTGCTTAACACTGAAAATACTTGATCATTGTTAGTTTGCGTGAATTGAAACCTTTTGTCAGTGTTAATGAGATAATCAGTGTAACTCGTATGACTACTGCTTACTGGAATTTCACTAGCAAGTTTAGGTCCTATTGTCGAAAAATGCTCATTAAATGCATTAGATAAATCTGATGGGTTAGATATAAAATTACCATTCAAATTTAATTCCCTGACAGATGTTCTTTTTGATTTACGCGAGGTCAGGTCATTGACAATCTGCCATGTCTTTCGAGAATTGCCACTGTGCTGCATAAATGCATTTTTATAATAAGACTCTTTAGCGAGTTTAATTTCCTTATTTACAACATTTCGTAATCTTCTAAAATTGTCCCAATCACCAGGGACAGTAGAGTGTATAGCTTTTATTTTGGCTATGTCACGATCATGCATACGTTTTTTTAAATCAGATGTTATCCATGGAGAGTTCTTCAATCGAATACGCTTAGTACGTATTGGAGCATGTTTATCTGCTATAGTTAAAAATTTACTTTTCCATTCAGCCCACATTAGATTAGGGTCTTGAGTGTTAGATAAATTGTAACTCCAGTCTTGAGATGAAATATCACTACGGAAGTTTTCTCGATTAAACTTCTTAAAATTTCTATAGGTAATGTAGTTATTTCCTTTACTAGATACAGTATTTAAAGATAATTTGCGGTAGACATAGATTAGGCTATGGTCACTTATACCGCAATGCGAGACTCCTGAACAAACTACCCTGTCTGGATAGTTAGTGTAAATTAGATCGATCAAGGTGGAAGTTGTTTTGGTAATACGGGTATGCTCATTGATTAACTGCTGAAGACCATATGTATCGGTAATGCTCGACAGCAGATGGGTATTGTTGTCATACTGAGTACTATCGTTAGCTAAATTACAGTTAAAATCACCCATTAAATAAAACTCGATATTTTCTGCATCAAGTCGTCCGATAAGGGACTCAAAAGAAGTAAATAACTCAACAGGAGAATTGGGTGGTCTATACCAGTTGACAACAAGAAATGGTTTAGATTGAGGTTTTCGAATTTCAACACATAAATTTTCCAAATTTTTAAACTTTAAATCCTCACGTATTGAAAAATTAATAGTGGTTCTAATATAGAAACAAACACCTCCACCATGTCGGTCTCTATCTCGGCGAAGTATTTCATACCCAGGGATATGTATTTCGCAATCATTAATCGAATTATCAAGTTTAGTTTCGTTGATTGAGAGGATATCTACTGGATAATTGACAAGCAGAATTCTCAGTTCAT